AGAGTTTCTATTTCCATCACCTGATTGAGTTTTAAAAATTGATGTAACTATCTAGCTAAACATGAATCACATTCTGATCTTATGTTCTATATTTTTCTTTTACGGCATTGCAGATCACCACTCATTGATGAAGACTGCTTTTTGGGGATGTTATGAAGCATCATTAGTTGCTTTAATAAGCTGTGTTTTTTCTAGGCTTAATCATTACAAAGATTCACCTTTTTTGAGAAATGTGTCTTACAACTTGCATATCTATTGACTACAGAGTTATTGAGAAGTGTGCCAAGATTTCTGAATCTTTGCATGGTGGTATTTGTATGGAGGAACGTGTTATAGGTTAATGGAATGTCGTGAAGGCATCATTACTTGTTTCAGTACGTTGTTTTTGTATAGGTGTATTAGTTGTAAAGATTCATTTTTATTGAGAAATGTGTTTTACAACTTGCAAATTTATTTTGAAAGAGAGTAATTTGAGAAGTGTAACAAGATTTCCAAATTTTTACATGATGATCTTTGCATAAGGGAAAGTGTTAAATAGTAAAAAAGAGTTTAATGTAGACACAATATTCATGTGGAGACATGAGGATTGTAACCTAATCTGAAATATGGATATTCCAAAAAGATCGTAAGATATGTTTTCATCATTGTTCATCTAAGATAGAATACGATTGAGTTCACATAATGAAGTGACATTAATCATCACTAGACAAATTATTTTATTTGCAAATAATTTATTTGAATCATTTTTTAAGTTTTTGTGATTACATTCGATAAAAGAAAATAAAGAGATAACCATAAAGATATCATGAACTAATAGTATATATATAATTTTTAAACAATCATTGGATCTGAAGCGGGTCTACAAGTAACATATACTAAGCGGGTCTACAAGTAACATATACGGAGTACTAACCATTTCATAACATTGATTCCTGACTTTAAAAATCTGTCAATTTGGCTATTTAATTTTTAAAAAAAATAATTTAATTTAGTTGTTTAACATTTCAACATCAATGAATATAGATGGTAAGTTGGGATTTAACTTAGAATTCTTCTCAATATCACTTCTATGAAACTTAAGAAAACTTATCGATAAGTGAAAAACTTGAGACTAATATTGGTTAAGATGAGTTCCAATTTCCAAATAAGCTTTTACTTTTTTGTATTTGAAAAAAAAGAAGAATTATTTAAAATGGATGTAGTACATACTATTTTTTATTTCATTTTTTTTAATTTAAAACACAAATAATTTTGCCTTCTTAAAACATTATAAAACATTTTTTTAAAAAAATAAAAAGACCATTTTAGAAAAAAGAAAGAAGGATAGAAAAAAGAAAAGATAAACTAAATAATGGGAACTGTACCGTACTGAATTGAATAGTCGGTCTGCTATTTGGGATCCATACGAGGTAACTTCCATACTGAAAAATCCAAACCAAAGATATATTCAAATATGTTATAAAAATAATAATGTAATTATTGTTAAAGATTACAACGGGAATAAAAAAATAAAATAATCCGAACTTATAAAACGTTCAGATTTTGCAATGAAAATAAAACAAAGAAAATTGGATTCTTTACGTATTATAGAGAGGGATTTTGCAGTGTCTTTCTCTGCTGTAATATGCTCCCTTTATATAGGGGCGAGCATGGACGAACGGACAGTCATGGAGGAGAAACCGAGGGGCCACGGGGAGACCCTTCAGTCGGTGTGCATGCATGCTATTCATTGTTCCGTCACTTCGTTAATAGTGCTTACACATGTTCCATTTGGTCTCGTAAAAAGCTAACCCCGCCCAGCCGCAAACACGGGCGCGCGCGCCTTGCCGCGACGCGCATGTCGAGCCGGACGGCGACTGCGGCGGCGCGCGAGGCGTCCTTTCTTGTTCCTTTCATAAACTCAATTAAATGCTCAAGTTTAAATATGAGAATACGAAATGTTCAAAAACCGGTGTGGGACAAGGGTTTTACTTTTCCCTCATATTCAACTTTGAGAATTAATTTCTCATTTACCCGAGCACCATTTATGGCGTGTAATATGTCGAAACATTTATCTTACTTACGATATTAAACGTCCATAATTATTTCCGAAAATAATTTTGTGGACCCCACCGAATTTATGTTCGAAAATGTCCAATTTATCTAAAAAAATTCCAATAGTTATAATTCTTCATTCAAAAATAAATTGATTTGAAAAGTCGGTTCAAGTATCGATGAATTACAAATAATCTTTTATCTAAATAATTATTTCTTTGAATTTTAATTTTTTGTAGATGAATATAAAAAGTTAATAGACATTATTGAAATACTTTTATTTTTATTATTTATTCAATCTTTTTTTAAAATATGAAGTACAAATTAAACTACATTTTTTAAGTAATTCTTGCACTTAAATATTAATTTTTCCATTGTTTATCTTTCTTCATTTGAATGTACTTTCAATTTTTTTAAAAAATAAAAAATTTAAGTACGTATATATATTCAACCCAATATTTATCGAAACCCAACCGGTACTTCAGGATCGGGATCGGTAGGATGTAAAATCCATACCAAATTGAAATATTTGGTACGAACCAAATTTCGTACCATAACGTATCACACTCACCCCTACTTACGAAAAAAGACCAAAGTAAGACTAAAACATTGAAAATATACCAAAATAGGACTTCCATGTTTTTATTCCCGAAATAGGACATACATTACCATACATGGTCATATACATTACCAAAAAAGTGTAGTAATTTGCACATGTACACTGCTATATCACAACAGAGCATAGTCACATTACTACAGTGCAAAGTCCTATTTCTAGAAAAAAAACATGAAAGTCCTATTTTGGTACTTTTTTATGTTTTAGTCCTATTTATGGTGACTTCTAACCCTACTTTGGGGGACTTCATAGCTATGATATAGTTGCTTCACAAAACAACTTTTTTGAAAAATGAAGCAATTGGTGCTCCACATGCGTTCTAATAGCTTCACATAATCTTTTGTAGGTGAAACAACTTATTAAGAACTTTGAATTCACATGTGTTCCACATAAATTTCACATCATCTATTATAGGTGAAGCAACTTATTAAAATTTTTCGATTAGAGATGCTCTAATGTTATTCATAAAGAAGTATTTCGAAATTTAAAATACATTCTTTATTAGGGAGTATTTCTTTGTAATGCCTTTCCTGCTTCATGCATTATAACATACTCCAAAATACTTTTGTTTTTTATAATAATTTGGAATAGTTTAAAATTAGTCCAGCTCTTTGAAATGCTCTTTAATTCTTAAAAATATTGCATGTTAATTTAAATTAAATTTTCTCTCCGTGCAACGCACGGGTACGAGTCTAGTAGCTTAGAAAAACGCAAATGAATGCCACTATCTATGCTTTTAGGATTAAGCGATCACTATTCCAAAAAGCGGAACGAAGAATAAGAGATCAAAAAACAATGTCGATATGTTTTGGTTGGGATTCAAGAATAGTGTAGTGACTTCAATTATAAATTTTGCAATGGAGTAAAGCTCTAGAGATTTGTGGACCCTAGGAATTTTAATTGAGTTCATTTCTAATTTGGTGCACCAAATAGAGCAAAGCTTTTGAAATTTTCTATTAATCAATCAAAAGTAAACCACAAAATTCAACTTCAATTTTGCTTAATCAATTAGAAACAAACCACAAAATTCAGCTTAATTAACCACGCATAAAAGAGGACAAAATAAATACGGAGTACTCAATAAGGAGTAAGCCCTAAATTATTAAACTTGCTAATTCCAACTTCAATTCGGCATTTAGAAATCACACTAAATAGAACTAAATCATAGAGAAAAATACCAAAATAAGACTTTCATGTTTTTTTACCCGAAATAGGACTTTGCAATGTGGGAATGTGACTTTGAACTGTGGTAATGTGGCAGTGTACATGTGCACATTACTATACTTTTTTGGTAATGTATAGGACCATATTTGGTAATGTATGTTCTATTTTTGGAATAAAAACATGGAAGTCCTATTTAGGTAAATTTTTAATATTTTAGTCCTACTTTGGTCTTTCTTTCTTCGACATTATCAATAAGATGTAAACCTAAATTTTTGAAATTTCAAAATCTTAGGTTGTGTTTGGTTTGGGGTAAAATATTTTCTTTGAAAAATATTTTCCAAAGGAAAATAATTCCAAGGAAAATTATTCTTCAGTCATATAATCCATTGTTTGGTAGGAAAATATTTTCCTTCCACTAATGTCACCAAACACATGAAAATGGAATCAAAATTTTTCTGGAAAATATTTTACGCCCAGCCAAACACACCATAGATTAAATAACGGGAACAAAAAATAGAAATAAATAGAAAAGAAGAAGAGTTTTATTTGCTTATTACTACGCTGTATTAGAAAGCAGATATATTTACTCAAAGAAAGTTTTTAAAAAGTAAATAACGAGTACTTGAAGTTCATTTAAATAAATGTTGAAAATAATCATTTAATTATTTTATAAAATTACTTTTTAATATTTTTAAAAGAAAATTTATTGAAATCATTTTTAGTTCATATGCAATAAAGTTGTTATTTCATTGTCAACCAAAGCACGACCAATGGAATTATTTAAGTTATCATTATTCCAAAAAAAAACGAGCAAAGAACAAGAGATCAAAGAGCAATGTCAATCTGTTTTGGTTGGGATTAAAAAATGCTCAATTCTTATGTGGTCCTTCGATCCATGCTCATTTTATGAACATTAGTAAAATATTACCATATAATAGTTGGGTTTTTGCAAAAGAGAAAAAGATTCACTAATAAGTTCATGAAATATGTGAGAAAGCTCACATTTCTTATATGAACCTTAGGACCAGGGAATCACAACTCTTTAAAAATAGTGTAGTGACCTTAATAATAAATTTTGCAATGCAATAAAGCTAGAGATTTGTAAAGCTCAAATTAAGCTGTTTGTGCTTCTCCTCATAGTGAAATAGCAATTAGTCAATGCAACTTTCGACGCTCATTGTCAATCATCCAAAAGCAATTGCTCTATGTTTTAAATATAGAGGGCTTCGTACATGATTACCTGCTTGAGCTAGGGATTTGGAAATTTCGAATAAGGATAAGGTCTGCGCATACCCAGAGCCTACTTTTGTAAGAATCAACTCAATTGTTGTTGCTTTCCATAATAGACATAAAAGCGTATTTATAGTACATTTTACAGCCAGATACCCAACCATCAAATCAAGAATTCAAAAGAGTGCATACCAATTGAACAAGGCAAAGGTAGAAGAAACTTGCATGGAAAGAGAATGGGCCAATATGAACAGTTCGTCACTAGACAAGCTCAATATAAGCCATTGGAGCATTATCCCCCCGCCGAGGTAGAGTTCTTATTATCCTAGTGTATCCGCCATTTCTGTCCCCATATCTCTCTTGAACCTCGGCAAATAAGGCGTGCACAATCTGTTTCTCGTAGATGAAGCCAAGGGCTTGCCTTCGTTTGTGAAGTGAGCCTTCCTTTGCCAAAGTAATCATATGGTCAACATATTTTCTCATAGCTTTGGCTCTCGCTCTTGTTGTCATAATACGCCCATGTTTGAGAAGCTGAGTTGTGAGGCCCCGCAAGAGTGCTCGTCGCTGGTCAGGAGGTCTGTTCAGTTTTGGAACTCTCCTACCATGTCTCATGGCAAACACTCGGCATCTGTTCCCAACCGCAGTTAACGAGTGCTCAAAACTTGACAAATCTGCAAGACATGAATCTGCCAAGAGCTAACAAATAGTCTGGACATGGATCTTTAACAAATCAATCTCTAACTAAAATACACATTTATCACAGATTATTGATTGGAACTAAATGCTCTTCAATATAATGCCAATTGTCCCTATTGCTTCATGGCAAAAGTAATTAGATATCTTCACACTACTAAATGAGCTAGTGTGTGTCTGGGCTTTACATAAAGCCATATCATAACATAAGCATATATTCCTGCTGCACCAAAGGAGTACCTAAGCTATTTATGGAAAAATATCATACACGATCCCTCTTAAAATCATTCAATATAATGAATCATTGAATTCTGATAAAGAGATTAGTCAAATATTTTTTGCAACATATCTACACTCTATTATGTTCGAATAGTGCAAAACCATGGTTTAAAAAAAAGTATGTCTCTTGCGCTGTAAGAACTTGTAGTTTCCTGTTCTCTTTACAAATCAAATTCTGATTTGATAATAAATTTTCCTGTCATAAGAATTCCTTGACACTCTGGATGTCTTTCCATAGTCAAGTCCATTCTCTATAATTCATCTTTTGTGGTTGGTCAAGAGATGATTACATTTCTGAAAAAAATAATTCAACCACAGATTCTCTTAAGAAGATCTTGAGGGCAACATCGCTTAAACACTAAATAGCCCGTATCAGTTGCATTAAAATGGACTCTACGACAGTGGTACAAGTAAAAAATGGTGTCTAAGTCCCAATTATATTTTAAAGAAAATGCCAGCAAATATTCATGTGGAAAACCAAATTGCCTAAAGGAAAAACCAACAAAAGTATTATAAACCAATCGGTGGTCGGAATCTTGGAATAACACATAGTACTGGCTATACGTGAACTATAAACCCTGTAAAATTACAAGCAAGAAACCACACCAAGCTTATTCAACCAAATAGGCAAGAAAATACAAGCACAAATGAAAATAGAAAAATCAAAGACTGCAAAAAAAAAGCCATCAATGCAAGGTACTCCATAATAGAAGAAAGTTGTCTCAGCGCACAAATGTGGAATTGTATAGTTCAAAGATTCACTGGTAATTAAAATTGCAGTTTCTACTATCTTATATCTGTCAATGGTCACATCATAAAAAGTAATTAACGTACTTCATTTTTAATTGCTGAGAAAGAATTTAGTAATTACAAGGAAAGAGTTAGTGTGACTTTACATATTCATTCATTATCCATAAAATTAACTGCCCCATCTGGATAATGTTGTCCACTTTCTTTGTTTTGTTTGTCTTAAATTAGCTGACCAATTTCTGCTAAATATTTTAGTACAATTGGAATGACTATTTGATCAATGTTATCATAATAATCATTAAACAAGTTTGATGGTGCGAGTGCACGCTTCGTTGAGTTTGTTATGATAAAAGCCTCATTTTGCCCCTAATTGATCAACGGGGATTCCACGGGGCAGCGCCCCTGCGTCTATAAATTTCTAACAATTTCACAATTTCTGTATTTGATAACGAAAATCATTTCAAGGACTAATATTATATTTTACACTCATTTCTTAAAAACGAGCTAGTTTAAAAAGTGGACAACTGATTCCGGACGGGGGTGTACATTTATAAGCATTACCAGGCATAATATAAGAAAACTATTAGGCTTAATTGCTTCTTATCATGTACCCATGGGCAGTCTATAGAAAACCCCAATAACATTTCCCTCTTTATAACTTCATTGTGCGTTTTAGAAACAGTTACAAGCAATGGATCTTCAATTTAACTTTATACTCCCTGCATTACATTAACACTATGTTTGGTTCAAGGAATTTGGAAGGATAAGAAAAGAAAATGGTTTTCTCTCATTTTCCTCACCAAAATGGGAGGAATTTAATTTTTCCTCCACTTGGTACATTTTGCCTTCTTATTTTCTTTTCCTTCCACTTTTCCTTTCTTTTCCCCTGTAACCAAACAAGAAAATCTGTTTTCCGCTTCACTTTCTTGCCTTTTTCCCTTTCAAATTCCTTGAACCAAACAATGTAAAAATGTTCCACATTTGAACCAACATCTTTTGTAAGAAAACTGAAATTGTATGGTTAACATTTGTGTAAAGGAGAAAAACAATACTGTATAAGATCCACAATTATTTCTTAAGGATATTTTTAGTAAAGAAAAAAATTCCTGACTGCTCTTTCCCCACTAACACCAATCCACTTCGACATTGGGCAATTGCTTCAAACAATAGAAAGAAATAAAAAATAGTCCGTAATGCAAATTTTTCCAAATCCACAATAGTTTTCTCAGGGAAAATAAAAAACATTTTAACAAAAAACAAACAGAACTTTTAGAGTAATTAAGGACCACAGAAACGATAAAATACCCAGTTTAATTGTACATGAAATACTCAAAAAGTTATGTAATCCGTGTATCTGAGAAAGATGAGAATTTACCTTGAGAAAGAAGAGATGGAAGCGAATGAAAAGGAGCAAACCCCATGAAGGAGTGTGGAATTCTTGGTTGGGGCTTCGGTCGGTAAAGCTTCAGTCGATATGGAGAAAACCGAGCAGGGAAGCGAATTGAAGATGCAGAAGACGCATCGATACGAGGAAGAGTTGATCTCAGAGAAGCCATACTCCATGCTGAGGATACTGAATTGATCGCGCATGCCGCCATTTTCAGTTGGAAGTCTCCCTCCCCCTCTCTCCCTCTCTCCCTCTCTCTCAGGGATGGAGGACTGTGTGGGTAACTAGTAAGAAAAAGCTCAAGTGCTGAATTGATGGATAATTGACAATTACCCCCCAATTTTTTGAGTGTCTTTCTCTTTCGCCTACTATCTAGACTAGCTTCACTTCTTAAGCTTGTATTCGAACAAGAGTAAATTAGAGAGTATATAATAGGAAATGGTCATCAAGTCGAGGGGCTTCAAATCTAGACATTAAACCTTCTCTTTTTATGACTTGGTATATGGTATCTCCGGATGTACCTAGAGATAGGTACATCCATGTAGTACTCATTCCGAAGTAAATTAGTACTCATTCTCGCACAAACATAATGGTTCATTTGAAAAACGTTATACTCATTCTGAAATAACGCAGTACTCATTCAGAAATAACATCGTACTCACTTTCACAAATTTGTTCAATATTCATTTATGAATAACATAATATTCATTCTAAAAGATAGTAGTACTCATTCCCATATAACCTAGTACTCAATCTTAAACAACCTTCCATTCATATAATCATATGTTGAAATCTGGTAAGTGAAAGCCTCTAGGAAGCGTGGAAGACCATCTCTAGCAACTGGAAGCAGAATTGATCGGGAATCCCACGACCTCCATCTTCATCAACAACCTCCGCGGAAGACCTTCATCAACAACCTCCATCTTCATCGCCACGCAGCCTCCTTCATCAGGAATCGCCGATTGGGAAACCATCGCGCAGCCTCCTTTGTGGCCGATCCATTCGGCCGTTCTTGCAGCAGGTCCTCTTTAGCCCTAATTAATTGTCGGCTGTATGGTTCTTCCCCCGAATGTACGGTATAATTTGTGTCTTTTTATCACATCAGTTTTAACATACATCACAATCTTAGGTTGCGTTCCATTCGTCTGATCTGATCTGATTTTATGAAGATCTGATCTAATCTGATCTGATCTGATTTGATCTAATCTAAACTGATTGTAGTTATAATTAAAGTTGTTTCTGATCTGATCTAGTCTGATCTGGTCTGGTCTGGTCTGATTATAATAAGAATAAGAAATAAGCAGAAAAAATAAGTTGAACCGAACGCTACCTTACTAGAAATGGGTTTAAAGTCCCGGGGCTTCAAATTTTTTTTAAATTTTTTAATACACATTTTGTAAAATTTAAATTAATAAAATTTCATTAATTAATTGGATTTAAAAGAAAATAGTTTATTAAATAAAAAAGTACATTAAAAAATAACATTAAATTTTTAAAAAACTACATTAATAAAAAAATTAAAGCAAATTATATTTAGCCTTGATCTCGTTTTTGTATTCTCTCGAAATACATACGTTTGAAGCGCGTTAACATATCAAGGTCGGTTTCCATTATTTCCAGATCCTCTTTCTCTTGCCTTCATTTCTCCCTCTCTTCTTCCCTAACATTGAACACCCGAAGTTGTTCAGCCATTGCCCGGCCGATATTGTCGTGAGAAGAAACAGAGTCAAACCCCTGCAAAACCAAAGACAATGGATGTTGTCTTCTTTCTTTCGATCGGCCGTGGAATGGGGTCCTCGTCATCAGAGTCGTCTAGGTTAAAGGGAGGGCTTTGTTCTGACGAGCCGATAGTGCCATCGGCCTCAACCTCGGCGGAGGATCTTTTCTTTGACGATCCGGCCTCGGGGTTGTTGAGTTGTTTCTATTTCAGTGAACAGCTTAAAAATCTCCAAAGATAAATATTTGGACTTTTTGGTTAACGTGGCCCTATTTTGAAGTGAGTTGGTCTCGGGTTTGGTAGGAGGCGTCCTTGTTCATCGCTACATAGAACTTCTCCTTGATGCGATCCCACATCGCATCCTTCATTTGCTCAGAACCTTTAAGAAATATATAACTGGACGAAACAAATATTTTAATACAAAAATATAAAAAAGAACATATATACAATATATATCAAAAAAACATATAAATTTTACCAATGATAAGATGCCCCAGGAGGTCAACCCAAGCGGACACCAACAACGGTTCTTCCTCTCTTGTCCACTTTTGAATGGATCGTACAACGATTCGTCCTCTATTGTCCAACAACGATTCATCCTCGGTCTTTGGTTTGGGACTCTTTCGGTATGCACTTTTTTTGGTGCACTTGATTCCGCCAGAGTCACCGGAACTGACTGTTGGGACCATAATTGCATACATTTTTAGCCCTAAATTATATGCATTTTAGCCATTTCTTATGGTTTAATTAGGATAATTAAGGATAAAGTTTCCCAAATTGTGTTACTGAATACATTGAATATTTTGATAGTAAAAACTTCATCATTTTATACATTTTTAATTTGTTGATATAAATTTATGGACTAATTACTAAGGTATACCATATTAAAAAAAGAATAAAATGTATGCATTTATGGTACCAACAGTCAGTTCTGGAGACCCAACACTTGGTTCCTGAGCAAAGATGGTTGTTGTTTATTTTGAGATCATTTTGATGAAGTGAAATTTGCACTAAATAGGACTAAAACATAATGACTTTCTTAATGTAGGACTTAAACTTTTTTATTCCCTAAATAGGACTTAATAATGACCTAGTGGAAGAAATAATGTCCAGTAATGATGAACATTTAGTTGAATAATGACTACTTGATAATGACCAAAGGTCCTACATTGAGAAATAAAAACATATGATCTTATATTGTGAAAGTCATTATGTTTTAGTCCTATTTAGATAAATTTCTCTTTGATGAATACGTTGATGGTCACCATGAGTGAGTAGTGTGCTAACTTGGTTGATGTTGGAGTGTGAAATTAATCCTTTATCTATGATATTCTAGATCATATTTTCTAAATATGTGAACTGTAACAAGGAAACTTGAAATAGGAACGAATGGTTTACTGAACTTAACTAAATCTCTGAACTGTCCATTTAGAACTATTTAGTGGAGCTAGAACTAGGAAGATCCTAAAGACCCAATTGATACATAGGTTTGTCTCTAGGGTCGCATTGACCATTTATTTTAGGTTGTTTTCTTCAATGTCTCGCTGGTGGGAAGTTGAGGAAAAGTCAATGCCACACCAATCAAAGATTAATGCACCTTGTGACTTATAAATTAGGGGTTGGTATCTAGTTTGTAAGTTATATGGTAGAGTCTTAGTTAATGCTGGGTTAANAATTAGTTAGCTCTTTGGTTCCAAATTCCCACAACCTTGATCCTTGTTTTAATCTTATAAATTTGAGAATTAATCATTTGGTAAAGGATAGTTACATAAGTTCAACATCAAACCAAGTTCCTTCTTCAACAAGGAAACAACTCATTTCTCCTTTTTCTTTACCTGTTTAATTGAATTTCAGACAAAGGGAACTTTTTGTTACTTATATTTACTTCTTACTTTTAATCTATTTTGTTACATACTCTTCAAATACCAAAACCCCTCTTGCGTGAATGTGTGTGAAAGGTTTAAATACTTTTTATACAATTTGCAGTTCAAGATCTAAGAAAAGTGTTTTCTATAAACTTTCTATGAGGATTCAACCCCTTTTCCTTGCTACTATACTACCTTTTATTTGAAATTAGTGGGTTGAAGATATTTAAATTTGTACATTCTCACAAGGTGTTAATAATTTTTTGGCGCTCGAGAAAGGCTTTAGTTCAATTTGCAATGGAGTATCTGCTACGGATTTAATCCGTCACAAATTGCGACATAATTTGCGACGCAAATAAGGACAATTTAAATTTAGAAAATTCTGTGATGAATTATCCTATTTCATCAGAAATCTGCGACGGATGCTACGTTCTGTCGCAAATTGTTGACCGTCAATTTTTTAAATGCATCACCTGCGACGAGATCTACTACGGATTAATTTTTGTCGCAGGTTTTAAATAAAAGCTTATCTCTGAACCAGTCGGGTTCACTTCTAATATTAACCATACGCGAACAACGCACGACGCAAAAGGAAATCACCGTCCGCTGCCTACAGTGCTCTCCGTCCACCGCCGACCTCCATTTATTTGCCGCCAGACATCGTCCGCCACCCTCCGACCCACCACCCGCCCAAACGCCGTCCGCCGACCCAAGGTAAACCCTAATTGTTTTCCATCAATTCAAGTATGAAATTTACCTTGACAATTTTTTGTTGTGATTGCATGATAATGATGATTTGATTTACTCTAAATTATTTAAAAAAAGTATTCTGCTTAAAGTTTGTATTATTTTTGTTAAATTTTTTTTGTTAAATTTGATAGTTAATCATATGCTTTTTTATATGCGACAGATTTTTTGTTAATTATATATGCTTATTATAGGAAATTTTGATTGGATTCTAAGAAATTTTTATTTTATGAAATTCTAGGAAATTTTTATTTGATATGATTCAAGGATTTTTTTAAGTTTTTGTTATTAAAAACTTCTTAACTTATCTTAAAATTTTGGTTATCGTAAGTGGTAATTTTTTGTACTTTTTAAGTTGTGAATTAATTTGAATAGTTGATATGTTATTTGCATTGTTCAATTTGTGATTTTTTTGTATTAAACAGTGTTGATTTTTTGCTACAATGTCTGGATTTGGTGATCGTGAATGGACGTATAACAAATTTGAATCCGAAGGTGTAGTTAGTAAAGGGAGGGTTGACAATGTCATGAAGTTTGTGGATATTTGTTCCTCGAATCACAATGCTGATCGGTCTAAGAATAACATGTGTTGTCCGTGTAAGTCATGTAAGAATTTAAAGTTGGGAAGTAATGCAACCATTATATAGCATATCCTGCGATTTGGTTTCACTCCAAATTATTATGATTGGGTTTGTCACCGTGAAAAGCATGGTGATTATGTTCCCCCAAAACGACAAAGAGTTGAACGACATGGGGATACCACACGTGTTACAAATGCCGCAGGAAGAGACCAATATATTCATATAGTGTACGATGTTGCACGCCCTTTTGTCGCAAACTTAAATGCCGAGGAAGAACCAAATCCGGAAGATAAAAAATTCTTTGAGATGATAAAAGCTGCGGATAAGGATTTGTGGTCAGGGTGCTCTAAGATGTCACGGTTGTCAGCAACTGCATGCCTACTCAACATTAAATCTGAACATAATCTCTGAAAAGGTGTTACGATACAGTTTGTCAGTTATTTAAAGATGCT